AACTAAAATTGTTTTCGTTAAAAAAAAGCAAATCAGCGTCGATAGAATTATTATTAAGTAAAACATATCCGGATTTGAAAACATTAAAGTGTAATTTTTCAAAATCTATGTTAAGTTAGTCATTATTTAAAATCGTTAAAATAGCTATTCGCTTAATAAAACTTCGCGCATAAACTTTCTAAAATCTCTACAATAAATTTTATCAAATTTAATAACTGCAAATTTACCTTAGCTTCTTTCTTTCCAACATCGTTTCAGTGAACCTTAGTCATATGCGGACAAATAGGAACAATGTTTATATATATATATATATACATACGTGGCTATATTAAAACGTATAATAAAGATAAAAAGACACAACAGTTTACTTTGCATATTCTTTATTAATATAAATTAAGGTTCCTTTAAGATTATTTATTGAGCTTAACGATTGATCTTGGTGTTTTATTATCTATAACTGCACCGACTCGGTGCGCTCGTTCCACAACTACTTCACTTAATATATTTAGTTTTGTTTTAAAGATGTCTTTTACAGCTTTCTCACAATCACACCAGTTTTCTTCAGGGTTTTTCTTTTATGCCATCGATACGTAAGTTGTAACGTCTTGAGCAATTCTCCAAGTCAATAGATTTTTTTTCAGCATCAAAATTTCATTATCATATTTAGTTTTTAGAATAAATTCATCCCTAGCTTTTTCTTCTTGGAAGTTTAAGCTGACTTTTATTTTTTTAACTTCATTTTCAATTTTTCGGATACTTAACTTGTTGTTGTTTATTTCAGCGTCCATTTTGTTTAACTTGCTGTTATTATTTTGAAGTTTGAACTTATTATTGTAGTGAAATTTTTTTCATGATCTTTGAGTAATATCTCTGTTTCTGCTAGTATATTTTTCTTTTGTTCTTCTAGTTTACTTGTGATAATTTTTTCTATATTTTTAGTATTTATTTCCATTTTTATTGCAAATAAAGTTATTCTCAAAAACAAAATACGTCTTACTCGCAGCGTGCCGCAAATGATTAAAAAAAAAATACTATTACTAGAGCCTTGGATCAAACAAATCCAAAATGGTTACTTTAAAAGATTGGGTAAACGAATTTATTAACTTTTTTTTTTTTTTTTCTCATTTTATTTAGGTACCTCAAGAAGTCCTTACGGTCTCGTCGCAGAGCACCGTAGATCAGCATTTAATTGGAAGATCACAACTCCTCACTAACCGATATCGCAAAACCTACCCAGAGGTGAGGTTGGAACCACGGAATTCAGTATTTTTTAGTATTTGAGATAGCTAACAGACGCAAACTCCAAACATTTGTATATTTATATTTATATCAAATAACAAGGCTTTGCAAAATATTGCGACGATTGGAGGCTTGAAACAAAAAAACCCTTAAATTTCATCCCCCTGCCCCAAACGTGAGAGCAACAAGTTAGTAAATTTTTTTTTTTCGCTTTTATAAACTAAATTTATATTCATCAATAAATTTTAAGTATCATAGTATTATCTCTCACTTATAACCATATAAAGTTTAACCCCGCCCCCCAATTTGAGGTTACAAATTTTATATGATCATAATTTTTGAATGCTTAGAGATTGTAAAACAATACCTAAAATTTACCAATGTATATAAATTTACTTAAGAATAGCAAAAAAAAAATTATTTCATCAAATTGCTGCTCTCACGTTTGAGGCAGGGGGAATAATATTTTAGGGCTTTTTTGTTCCCAGCCTCCAATCATTGCAACTTTCTATGAAGCATAATTATTTGACATAAGTATAGACATACAAATGTTTGGATTTTGCTCTTAATCAACATAACAATGCTGTATTCGTTACTACCACAGATCTCTTGCTTCTAATTTAAAAACAAGATGTTGTAATATTAAGAATAAAATAAACTCTGAAGCAAATTTGCTTTAGAATCTAAAACAAGTTTGCTTCAGAATTCAGTGTTTAAACTCTGCAAATGTACAATAAATATTTATAAAGATATAAAATTTTCAGATTAAAGCAAATATCTCAAGAAAAAATGTAAAAAGATTAAAAAAAGGTTAAATGTACTTTTATAGTTCAGAGTTTGCAGTTAAGTATTGGATCAAAATTCAAATTATTAGAACCATTCAATAAAGAGAAAGCAAGAAAGCAATCGCCATAGCTAGCTTCTTGAACCCACTCTTCTTCTTTTTCAATAGTTCTTTATAAAAACTTTTTATTTAAAGTAGCCTATAAAGCTCAACATTATCTTGAAAATTTTTTACTGTAAGCACAACAAAATAAATTTACAAAATATTTTTCTTAAAACAAGAAATACGTTTCTTGTTTTAAGATATAATTATCCTACCCTGCAAGTTATTTTTAAAAACAAAAAATATATTTCTTGTTTTGAGAAATAAATTTCTTAAACTATGATTAATAGATTTACAAATTTGCTGCGATGTTCTGATGAGTTCTGTGATGTTCTGATGAGTTGTTAGAAACTTTAAAAGATTTTAAACGTTTTAGAATTCATTGTTTTCAAAATATCTGAAGGAGTCTCATCCGTAGGGATTTTTTTTACTATGAACTAGAATATCAAAAATTAACCAGTAGTCTGGTAAAATATACAACTCAAGACCTAGTGGCTGGCCTTTATCAAAAAAAATGCCTTCAGAAAGATTTCAGTTTTGATTTTATTTGTTTTACATCTTTTTGGATCTCCGCTTGTTTTTGAATACAGAGCTTTTTACAATTTTTATATTTTGATCTCGGTCAAAAGATGCTAACGCCAGCACCAAACAGTTCTAAGGTTTTACAATTATTTGAATTTGACCTCTGCAGCAGCAGAGCATAGCAGCAGGCTCATTATGCATTTGCCAATAGTCTTGTTGATTTTAAAGGTTTAAATTAAAAATAATGCCATATAGATAAAATAAAGTTTAAACTGACACTGTTAAAAACTTATTACATTTATTAATATCTATTAATTTAATTTTTAGTATATTTCTACTGATTTTAAAAAACGTCTAAATACATACAAAAAAAAAAAAAAAAAAAAGTTTATAAATTTTGTTTTTGCGAAAGGGTATTTTTAAGTGAAGTAGTTTTATCTTTACCTTACTATTTTTAACCTTTTATGCTTTTATATAGCCATTGCTTGAAGTGAGTGAACTGAATGAGATCAAAAGCATCTAACAAATTTCTAATTGTTATCTATTGGGCCTCAACGCTATTGTGTTTGAAAACCACGTTTTTTAAATTCCAGAACGAATTTGAGCGTTTTTAAAATACCATAAGTTAACAAAATTAATAGTAATAATAATGCGTTCAATCGGTTTAGAAAAAAAAAAGCCTTTCATTAATTGTAATGACATTTTTATATTGTCAATGATTTGTAAATTTAGCTAATATATATATATATATATATATATATATATATATATATATATATATATATATATATATATATATATATATATATATATATATATATATATATATATATATTATGATATTAAAGAAATTCATCGAAGTAAAAGACATGAAACAAACACACACGCGTTTTTATATATATGTATATGTATATATATATATATATATATATATATATATATATATATATATATATATATATATATATATATATATATATATATATATATATATGCATATACATATACATTTATATAAAAGCGCGTGTGTGTTTGTTTATCATAATATATATATCGGGGAAGCTAGGCAACATGGGGAACGCTTTGAAAGTCCTGAGTTATTGCAAAACTATCTAATATGAAGCAATAATACTTAATCAGTATGTTTATTTTAATAAAATGATTCATTGGTACATGAATTTTCAGTTTGCAAATGCAACAATTTGAAATAAATATTAAAATAAAAAGTTCATAAATATATCATCTGGTCACGTGACCGGGGCAAGATAACTTCTTATCCAATTTTTGCCTCTAATTTTTAAAATTTTAAAAACTACCAACAGCTCTTTTTAAAGTAATGCAAAATAAACACACGTTGCAAAAAACTACTTCTAAAGAAGTTACACTTGAAGAATTCATTGTGAGAAACCTAATAAAAAACAAATATGTGAATCAATTCACTTACAAAAATGTCACTAATCTTTTTGTTCATTGTTCATAATCTTTTTAGTTTTGATTATTCATTTGTTTATTTACAATTTGCAAAAATAAGTATACGAGACATTAAAATATTGTTGAGTATCCTAAAATAATAAGTTGTTAGTAATAATATTCAGTTTATTACACTCGTGTCCTTTCGGCTCTCGGTATGTATTTAAAAAATGATTTAAGGAAAAGTCGCTTTTTACTTAAAATAGGTTGCCGACCTCTGGTTTAAAATATGTCTGTATTTTAAAAAAATGAAAAATGATATAAGTCTATTTTTAAAAATATTACGCGTTTCTACAAGTATCGTAATAATAAAAGTCTTTACAGAGTTGTCCAGAAGATGTTATTCAAAGATATCTTTAAGATGTTTTTCAAATATATCTTTAAGATGTTTTTCAAAGACATCTTCAAGATGTTATTCAAAGATATGTTAAAGATGTTATTCAAGGATATATTTAAGATGTTTTTCAAAGATATCTTTAAGACATTTTTATAAAAACGTCTATTTGATTTAAAGATCTACGGATGCGCATTTCATATTTCTTAAAAAACTGCTTTTAGAGACTGTTAATCATCATTGTGTTAACTGGACATGTTAAAATAATTTTTGACTGTGTTTGACTTAAATATTTATAAGGAGCATTTTTAGCATAAATAACTATTAAATAGTTTTAGTAAATAATAAAAAGACATCAAACTTTGAATAAAAACTGATAATTGAAAAAAGTATAAACTATACATCATTCGAACTACGTTATTCATATAATTTATCTATATAGATATATATTTATAGATATTAGGTATAAAATAATATGTATATAGTAATTTCTGAAACAATTACTTGTTGTATTTTTACTCTAAGAGTTTATTTGAAATTTATTTTTAGGAAACCTATTATGCGACTGTCCACATGGCCATGTGTTGCATTCTGATGGATTAACATGTGTAAAAGGTTTATTAAAATTACTTTTAACGTAGCGTTGAATATTTTAGGTTTTCAAAAATGTTTAAAGTAAAGTACAATTTTAAAATATAAGTAAAATATGGTTTTAACTTTTTTCAAAATCAGGGACATCATTAGCTAATGAAGTCCCTTATATATTAAAAAAAACTGTATTTTCTATTACTGGACCTTTGTTAGTATATTTCAATTACATATTTTATATTTATTGTAGCATAAATTTATATTTATGCTTGCATAAATTTATATTTATACTAGCATAAATTTATATTTATGCTTGCATAAATTTATATTTATGCTAGCATAAATTTATATATATACTAGCATAAATTTATATTTATGCATAAATTATATATTTATGCTAGCATAAAAACTGAAGTGGAACTAATATTTCAGGTAATAAAAATTAAATATAGACAAAACAAAATAATTGTATTAAACGCATTTTAAATATTGACATGGAGGTATCATAATATGATAATACTTGCAAGAACATGTCACGAGGTATTGCAGAAAAATCAAATGACACTTCCAAATTAAGCTCTGCTGGTAGTTTGTGATACCCATTACAAATTTTATTCCAATAAATGTAAATATTTCCTTTTCTTTAATACATGGTTTTGTTTTGATATTGTAGAGCATAAAAATTACTATGATATAAAATAGAATCTACTATTTCTTGGTCAAAATATTTCATGAAGAGATTATTACAGGATTATTACATTCAGCAAACTGTTCTTTCACTGGTCCAATAAAGTATAAAGTACATATATAGTAAACAATTTATTAATATCCAAATTTCAAAATACATTAATATCACGAAACATTACAACAAAAAAATTTCTTGATTTATATACATTTAATAAATATAATATAAACCTAATATAAATTTGTAGCTTCTTCCAGCTCCTATTATTTTCAGTATCATATTCAATTTTAGAATCTGTTTCGTTAATTTCAACTCCATTATCATTACCAATCAAATCGTAATCTAAATTAAACTTCAAATATTTAGTTACAAATTAAACAAAACATGAAAAAGTTCCCAAAACAAATATAAGCATGTAAAGATAAATATAATGTTAGTTTTTTCAAAATAAACACGTTTAATTTCCTTGTAAGTTTTAGAGAAAGATAAAATTTCTGCGGAACAAATAAGTCCCACGAAGGGTTATAGTAAACGCAACTCATGCACGAAGGGTTATAATAAACGTAACTCATGTACAAAAGGTTATGGTAAACGTAACTCATGCGCGAGGGGTTATAATAAACGTAACTTATTTAAATTATTTAAGGAAGAAAACTTATGTTATACAAGTCTAGTAATTTTACAAATTTTTGTAAAACCACTATCACTTTTACGCTTTTTCTAAAAAATTTATTTATAAAAAAGAAAACAAAACGTTTATCAAACAATAACGTTGCTTAACTAACACTGAAATGGTCGTCATGCGACGCATGACGACCATTTCAGTGTTAGTTAAGACTTGTATAACATAAGTTTTCTTCCTTAAATAATTTAAGTTAACGACTTATTGCAAAATCAGTAAAAATATTATAAAAATACACTCATTGTTCTTACATTTAACACACACCTGAAGTTAAAGTGACTTTAACACACCGTCAGCCCAGAATACAAGTGTGTTTAAATTAAGAAATTTGTATTCAAAGCGAGTTTAAATTGAAAAATTTATATTAAAAGTTTAAAGTATAAAATCTTTTTATGTAAATTTAACTAAAAATTTAAATTACAAAGTTAAAATTCAACAAAGTTGACTAAAACTAATTTAATTTTTTGTTTAAATTGCAAAAAAAAAAAAAAACAAAAAAAAAAACTACAAAAAACTTCCCTCGTAACGAAGATCTCTGTTTTTTAAATACAACAAATGTATTTCGAAATCAGAACATTTTGTCGGAATACAATCGTCATAAATGCAATTAATTTGATAGTAGGTGAATTAAGGTTAAATTCACTAATGTTGTAACTAACGATGACTTATAACTTTAGTATAATTTTAGTTTCACTGTCTCTTAGCGTTTTTTCTCTGTAATTCATTCCCGGTAACCAATTTATTGGTATTATAATTAAAAAAAAAAAAAAAAGGAAAAACTCAATATCTGTATATATAAATAATAAAGAAAAGAAGAAAAGTTTGTTAAACAAATAATAATGATATATGTAATAATAATAGTAATAATACAAAATAATAACAATAACAATAAAGTACCAATAATATTAAGAATATTATAATACAATATAAATTGTATGTACAAATCATAGATGATAATTAGATATAATAATAACATAAAATGTAACATTAATAAAACAATAATAAATAAATATAAGATTGGTAAATAATAAATAAAATAAAAATCAAACCACAAGACAACTATAGTACAGAGAGAAATTATAAAGAAATACACTCCAACAATATATTTTTAAATTGAATTCTGTTGAGCAGTAAAAAATTCGTAACAAGTGGATATTTTTTCTTAGACTTTTTTGTTAATGCAGGAATACACTGGTTCCATTGAGAGATACATTGTTGTTTTATGGAAAACTTACCATATTTGATTGTGCTGAAAAAAGAATAGTATAGCTTACTATTTTCTGTATTCCTGGTGTGATGATTATGAACTTCGTTTGTTTTAATAAAAAAATTTGAAAAAGGGCTTGGTAGTTTATTTTGGAGAAAGTCAAACACAAAAAGACAATTGTAAAACTTTACAAGATTATGGAGTTTTAGGATTTTTAGTTCAGAAAATTTTTTTTCGATATCAGATCTCATTGGGGAAAACGTCATTATTCTAATAGATGCGCGTTGTAAACTAGCAATGTTGTTAAGTAAAAGGTTTCTTTTTTGACCCCAAACAATACAACAATAGCAAAGGTGAGAAGAGAATAAAGAAAAATAAATCATTCGAAGAGTTTGGATAGAAACATAGTAACGAATTAGAGAAAGCATACTGTTAGCTCGTGTAAGTTTTTTTTTTAGATGATACAGTTGATTATACCAAGATAGGTTTTCATCAAGATATATTCCAAGATACTTTATATATTTTGATGGAAAAAGTTTTTTACCGTTAATTTTAATTTTAATATGATCAATAGTTTTTTGAGGGGAATGAAAAATAATGTATTCAGTTTTATTGACATTCAAGGAAATACGGTTACTATTTAACCAGTTACATAAGCGATGAAGATCTTGATTAACTTTTTTACAAATAGTCGTGAGGGATTTGTTGATATATAAAAGATTGGTATCGTCAGCATAATGATGTATCATAGAATTTTTTAACGAACAAGATAAATCATTTATATATAATAAGAACAACAACGGTCCAAGAACGGAACCTTGTGGAACGCCATATTTAATAACTTTATGTGTGGATTCAAATCCAATAATTGAAACAAAATGAGTGCGATCCGTAATATATGAAGAAAACCAATGATTAGCAATACCACGTATTCCGTAGTAGTTTAACTTTTTTATTAGAATGTTGTGATCAACCGTATCAAAAGCTTTTTGAAGATCTATGAATACACCACAAGCAAAAGAATCACTGTCAATTGCACCACGAATCATTTCAGTAAGGCTAATAAGAGCGTGAGAAGTGAAGTGATTTGAGCGAAACCCAAATTGTCGAATATGAAAACAAGCAGAATTATTTAAAAAGTTGTAAATACGAGAGTACATAAGTTTTTCTAAAAGTTTGCTGACATTTGATAATAATGAAATTGGTCTGTAGTTATTACGTTCAAGTTTTGAGTCTTTTTTATGAATTGGGATAACAGAAGCAGTTTTTAAATATCAGGGAATACACCGGTTGTGAATGACAGATTAAATAGTTCAGAAAGTACAGGAGAGATATCATTTGCAAGAGCTTTAAAAATAGGTATTGGAATGCTGTTAGGTCCCGAAGCCTTGCTGTCATTAAGAGAATGAATAATCGATAATACTTCGTTTTTTTCTGTAGGTTTTATGAACATTGAATTAAGATTAGGATTTTTAAGATATTTATTAAAGTCAGTATTGGATGAGTGGATCTTATTCTGTAAATCTTCCGGAACTGAAACAAAAAATGAATTAAAAGATTCCGAAATTTTAATGGGGTCGTGTATTATGGAGTTGGTAGAAGATAAGCATGAAGGAGATGAGTTAACTCTCGAACTAATGTTTAAAAGGTTCTTAATACCATTCCATGTAGATTTCAAATTTTTGGCATTGTCAGAGAAGAACTTAGAGTAATGGTTCTTTTTACTACGACGGGTGAGAGTAACAAGTAAGTTTCTATATGCTTTATAAGATTTTTCTAGATTGAGTTTGTTATTAGGACTCTAGATTGAGTTTGTTATTTCTTTGCTTTAAGAAATTTTTTAAATATTTTATTTCGCATTTTAATAGAAGTCAAGATTCCTCGTGTTATCCAAGGTTTGAGACCCCTTGATAAGCAACGATTGCTGACTTTTTTCAATGGTGCATGTTTATCTAAAAGAGAATTGAAACTTGAGAAAAACTCTTCAAATGACTTATTAGTCTTACCTTCGTTGACATTGATTACATTAATCCAGCTAATTTTTGAGAAATCACAACATAACTCGACGCAATTTATTTGTTTTAGATTTCGACGAAAAATGCAGCTTTTACGAGAATTAATTTTGGTTCTATAAAGAGGATGTATTAAAAATTGGGGCAAATGATCTGATACCGTAGAAGTAAAATTACCGGCAAAAACATTTGTAGAAGTTGCATTAGAAAATATGTTATCAATTAGAGTTTTGGAGTGATTTGTGATTCTTGTTGGCAATGAAATAAAGGGAAGAAAGTTATTTAAAGCAATAGTGTCTAAAAATTCAGAGACAGAATTATCTGAGTTTGTTAATAAAAGATCGACATTAAAATCGCCTATTAAAAAAGTAGTTTTGTTTTTTTCCATAGATAGCTTTTCAAAAAGTAGAATTAAATATGATTTAATAAATTCTGAAATATCCATACTAGGATGGCGATAAATACAGCCAATAATGATGTTTGATTTTTTAGGAATTATGATTTCCACAAACACAGATTCTAAAAGTTTTGGTTTAAGCATATTAAGGTCATATCGAAGTTTGTAAATTAATGTATTCGATATATAAAGTAAAGCTCCTCCAAAATAAGATTTTGTTGGAGTGTGCTCATAAACATAACCGGTAAGATTTAATGGGATAGTTGGTAAAATGTCATGTTTTAGTTTAGTTTCAGTTATGCCAATAATACTGAATTTATGATTAATAAGAGATAAAAGTGAGTTTAATTCGTCAAAATTTTTAACAAGAGAAGCAATATTTCAATGAAAAAGAAAAAAATTATTTTTGTCGATGTTAGAAGAGTTAAAACTTTCTATGTCCATATATTTACAATTAATAGGGTATTCTTCGAGGTTTACATCATTGTCATTGTTGTTATTAAGTTGATGGGAAATAAAATCATTAAGTTCATTATAAAGATTAGGCTGTACGGTGTTTGGGAAAGATGATATGTTGTTTTCGAATTCATTAATATGAATCACTTTATCATTTATTGTTTGCAGGTGCAGCTCCTTATCTGATAAAGTACTGAATGGAAAAATTTTTTCCCTACATGAAATACAGAAACAAGATGTTTTAGAGTTTTTCAATATTCTAAATTCAATATCATTCAGACGACAACATTTTTTATGGAAAAGGTTTAGGCAATGATAACATTGAAGGTAGTGATGGTTTTTATTAATTTTCTTGAAGCAATCTTTGCAGTGAGTAGACATTTAAGTGTTACAGTTTATATAATAAAATGATTGAATGAACTGAAATAAGGAAACAAAGAGTAATATGAACAGCAATATAACCAAAAATAATAAAAATAATAATAGTATTTATTAACAATATAAATATAATTCAATTGATAAAATAGTAAAACAAAAATAATATTTATTTACCAGTCAAAATAAATAATGAAAAAATACTATTAATATAGTAAAAGAAAAATAACGTAAATATATATTGAAAAAAAGTTATAATTGGTTAAATGATAAGTTGTAAGTATAAATTAAAACAATTTATATTAAAATAATAATAAATTATAAATGATTATAAGTAAAATATTCTAGTTATAATAAGTGGAAAATATAATAATAAACTATTAAGTCTATGCTTAGTATTATAAGTTAATAAGTAAAACTATAGTAACTAAGCTAACAAACTATATAGATATATAAAAACAATAATAGTAATAATACTAGTAGCAATAATAACTATTATAATAACAACAACAACAACAACAACAACGTTTCTCTTACTCAATTTATAAATAACTAATCATTCGCAATTTTTCTTTTTTTACATAAAGCAATATTTATTACTACTATTTATTTTCGAATAATTGAAAAATAAAATAACTAATTTTAGTTTTTTTATTTTTCAATTTTTCTACAGTTTTTCTACAAACCATTTTTCTTTTTTTTGGAGACCTTGGTATTTTACTTACTTTATTTACCCTGTTATTAAAATTATAGTAAATTCTTCTTTCACTGATATCTAATGTTTTTAGAAAGAATAATTTACAGAAAGCTTTTAACATGGTTTTTTTTAAAATGATATTTATAAATACAATTCTTATGTTTTTCCATTCCTGAACTTTTACTTTTTCTTTTACAATCCCACCTTTCTATATTTTGAGTATAAAAATTATGTTTCTTAGTGTCACTTAAGTTCCAGAAATAAGAATGGATTTTAACTCTGTCAAAAGCACTAAAACATCAAAACATTTTAGTTTACACACAGAAGAACAAGCTTCACCTACTTTTCTCTCAGATCTGTCTTGACCAATTTTATCTATGTAGGCCTTGCTACACAGCCTTTGCTTTTTTCTGACAAAAACGATATATTTATAAATACTGGTTTGTTCTTTTGATTACAAGTAATAATTTTTATTTACTGAACATTTTAATTCAATTCAAAAAATACGACACTTGCATTCTGGGCTGACGACATCTAAAAGTTTACAGTTTACAGTTTCGTGAATTTCGAAGATTTGTATAGTATAAGTAAATGATATTTCTAAACACATACCTCTTGCTTGCCAGTTAGCAGCAAGTAAATAATTTTTCTTGCTTTTAAGAAGCAACAACTTGTTGTTATTGCTAAATCATATGTGGACTTGTATAGACCCCATCAACGAAATTCTTGAAGGTAACATATGTTACCTTCACGGTATGTAGTTATGTCTAATGTTTATATAGCTTTGTTGAATTCAAAATCAAAAACTATAAAACAACTTAATATTTCCTAATGTATTTTTATAACTAATTTTATAAAAAAGAAACGAAATGAATAACATATGTTATTCATATCATTACTTTTTTTAAAAATTAATTATAAAAATACTTTAGGAAATATTAAGTTGTTTT